GCGCGACTACGGCTACTGGGAGGCGAAGCACATGTCCCGCGAGAAGGCCCACGGCCAGTACCTCGCGTCCATGTACGTGACCTGCGACTCCATCGCCGACAAGTGCCCGGACTTTGGCTTCGGCACGACGAACTGCGACCGCTTCGGCGCAAAGCCGCGCCTCGCCGACAAGATCGCGCACCACACGATCAAAGAAGGCGACCCGGACGGCCTCCGCGAATTCCACTACCGGTCGTCGAGCGGGCACGACGTGACGTTCGAGGTCGAGAACGCCATCTTCTTGGAGGGGACGGGCCACAGCCTGACGCACACGCATTTGGAGCACGTCACGAACGAGCGCTACCTCGAGGCGCTCGGCATCCTCGGCCGCGACACGCGGCGGCACCCCTGGAACGCGTCGGGCTACTAATTCACTTTTAAGGCGGCGGGTAGGCGAGCCTGAGGCCCGGCGACTCGTCGCCGAGCTCCTCGAACTTGCCCGGCGTCGACGCGTCGAGGTAGGCCTGGACCTGCGTCCGGTCGCCGAGCGCCGGCGTCGTCCCGGATTCCGAGCGCACGGAGGGCTCGTCCGCGGGCGGCGGCGTCGCCGCGGAGGGCTCGTCCGCGGGCGGCGGCGTCGCCGCGGAGGGCTCGCGTGTCGAGCTTCGATTTCTAAGTCGCATGTGCGAGGCCTAGCCTCGGTTGCCTTTGTATACGAGAAGGGGAGCAGAGGGTGTCTCGGCTGTGGCGAAGGTGGTTCCCTCCGCCTTGACGTGGACGGCGATGGCGTCTGCGCGGTCGACGAAGGCCCGCCCGAAGGCGTCGTGGTCGGGGAAGACCGCGGAGTTGCACTCGCGGCAGGCCATCCCGTTCCACCTCCTCGTCAGCTTGTTGTGGTCAAGGTCAGTAGCGGGGGACGAGCACGCAGCGACGAAGCACGTGTCGTCGCGGAACGTCGGGTGCGCTTCCTTGTAGAGGTCGTAGTTCTCCTGCGCGAGGTCCCGCATCTTGTTGTCGAAGGCGATGAGCCGCGTGGCGCGACCGTGCAGGTATCGGTGCTGCTTGCTGAACATGTGCTTGATGTACTGCGGGAACGCGACGCCCCATCCTGGCTGCCACATGACCTGGGCAGGACAAGGGTGATTCAACGTCGCTTCAACGTGAGTGTTCCGCGCGCGCGCGTTCCGGAAAAAGCATCCACGCTTCGAGACCGTTCCGAGAGATGATCGCTCGTCCAAAAATCAGCCGAAACGAGTGGAAAACGGCCGAGATATGAGCCTTTGAAGTTGGGAATTTCGCTCTCTTGTCCTG